TTGGGAGAGCCGCAACCCATGGACAACGGGGCTGATCCCTTCGGCAGCTGCCATCGGCCACAGCGTCCCTCAGCCTGCCGAGCTCCTGCAGGTTCAACCTGCCCCGAGCGCCTCGCAGCACCACTGACGGTGACCTGCTGTCCTCCGCCCACCCGCCCCGTGCCACCCCTCGGCACAGCCAAAGGGGCTCGCCACAGGTCCCTCGGGGGTGGCAGGGAAGAGTTCTCACTTCTTCCCACGACTTCACTTCTGTGCAAGACACCAACCGTGGGTCAGCAGGAGAAACGCTACCTCCACCTTACTCTCCCTTTTGAGAAGCACCACTGACGGTGACCTGCTGTCCTCCGCCCACCCGCCCCGTGCCACCCCTCGGCACAGCCAAAGGGGCTCGCCACAGGTCCCTCGGGGGTGGCAGGGAAGAGTTCTCACTTCTTCCCACGACTTCACTTCTGTGCAAGACACCAACCGTGGGTCAGCAGGAGAAACGCTACCTCCACCTTACTCTCCCTTTTGAGAAAATAAGTTCACCAAGCAGCTGGACTCAAAGCTCTTTTCCAGGACGGCTGCTCAGACCGAACGACACGCTCCTCTTGACGCTGGCAATGACTAAGAGATGCTAATTCTGCATGCTGCCTGAAATAGCCTGTGCTTTGGGCTGTGCTCCCAGCCTTAGTTTGTCCTTCTGTTATTTATTATGGTTGGGGAGAAAAGAAAGAACTCGTGTGGAGCTGCTCTGGCGGCATTAGCTGTAGCTTCATGGTGCTGGCTCTATATCTGGCTGCTGGAGGTCCTGGGAAAGCACCTCTCCTGCTAGATACTGGTGCATCATGGCATGGTGGCATCTGCAGGCAGGTCCTCAGTCAACGGGTGAGGAGATGAGGTGGAAGAAGCAAGGGTTCAAGTCCCCTCTTCAAAAGCAGCCGCCTGCTTGACTGCTTTCGTTCCATAAATCACAGGCCGGGGGAGCTGATTTTTGTTTGCAGAACAACTGCCAGCTCCCGTGGCACATGCATGCAACAGTTATCGCGCAAAGAAAAAAACCTCCCGCTGCTTCGCCAGGGTCGCTAGAAATATCTCATGGTGTCTGCAAGCTCGCAGACCGACCGCTGCGAGGGCTCTCCCACCGGCACAGCCGAGGCCCGGCTTTGCAGCAGAGGTCGTGGCATTTGGGGGGGGAAGCAGCACCCCAAACTGTCCAAGCGCCAGAGATGGGGACGACCCCTTCACAGAGGCTCAGCATGGTCCTGGAGCAGCTGGGACGAGCCCTTCCTACCTTGGATCAATGACAACTACGCCGAGCTATTTTTAACTGGACTAGAGATGTCAGAAAATAAACACTCGCAGCCACCGTGAGCGCACGGTGATGGCCTCTTGTTCAATGAGGCTCTTCTCCCTTTCTCCTTCACACTGGTAACTGGTGGCAAATACTGAATTTGGGTCTAATGAAGCAAACTCCAGCCTTTTCTTGGTGCACAAGCACCTGACAGAGCTAACAACTTATTTCCCTGGTGTGGCCCTTTCCTTCTCCTCCAGCAGCCATCACAGGAGCTAAGCCATCTGCCTGGGCTTCCAAACCGCCGGCAGTTCTGCAAAGAGCTTTCAGTCCACCTGCCGTGGCACACAACGGATGGGATGACACCATGCAAGTCAGAAGGCAAGAAACCTGAGTGCACTAACGGGCAGCGGCTGGTGCTGCAGTAAAAGGCTGAGGTTGGCAGTGGAGGCTGCAAGCGGGTCGGCTCTTACCTGACCACCTGCAAAAATGACAGGGGTGGAGGCGGGCTTTGGGCGGTAGGGAATGGTGGCACCTTTTGGTGGGGACTAGGAAAAGGGACAAGGAGAGGGAGAAAGAACATTAGAACAGCTTTTCCTGAAACGGCGGCAAAAAGAGTGTTAGAAAGCACCCGACGGAGCACGGCCCCCGGGCCCGCTGCCAGCAACACCCACACCAGGCAAACCGCGTTTCTGGACAGGAGGACACGGGGGAAATTGGTGTTTAACAGACAACAAGGACAACCTGGGGTACAGGAGATCCCCTGCCAAGGCACGGGTCCCTAAATCACTTCCCAGACCTCCGCTGCCTCCCTTGCCTTCGCTCTGCTCTCCGCAAACTGCGTCACCTGGCCTAGGTTCCAGCCTGACGCTGGAACGCAGCACCCTCCTCAAAACACTCCAAGAAGACCCTCAAAGCGCAGCGAGATGAGGAGCTACACCCATGGACCAGGCTTTTCAACCCTGGATGCCACGAGTCTCCTCCTTTCTTTGCAGCCTGAGAGCTCCTGCACGTTGACAGCCCGCCCCGGAGTCGCAACAGCCCTGACGAGCACCAGGAGCTGTGGTATGGCATCCTCATCATGGCCATCAGAAGGTGTTAGCAGCCTCTCTGAGCGACCTGGCATGGTGCTTTAGCTCTTCGGCCCCTCTCATCTTCCTCACCATTGGAACAGAGTCACCTTCAAGACTTAGTTAGGTCTACTGTCATCCAAGCTGGGATGTGGATGGCCATGCAGCAGATGCTGCAAGGCACCATCACCGTTGTCAAGACCCCCCATGCCCTGGTGGGACAAGTGGCAGTAAACTCTTTGGCCAGTGTGCTGAGGTCTGGAGGAGCTGGAGGCTGGAAACCCCTCTCAGATGGTAACACCAGCATTTCCAGAGATTTCATCCTAGAGTTGGATGGTGGTAACGGTCCGTGTGAGCAGCCACACAGATGCCAGCAGCAGAGGCACCGACCATATGCACTCCGGGCCCTTCTCCTGCAGCAGCATGACCCAGGGCAGCCCTGCTCCAGCTGGCCAGGACATCTCAATCCTCCCTGCTGTGGCCTGACCGGTACCTGGGTAGGCATGAGCAGAAGCTGCAGCGATGTACATCAAGCTGTAGTGATGCATCCCACCGCGCAGTGCACGGTGTCTTTTCACCCCAGTTATCTCTTTTGGTTTTCTCTTGAACATAACTAACAGACCATAGAAGAGATTTGGGAGGTTTTGAGGGATCAGGAAAGATTTCAGATCAAAGCCTCCTGGTTCTGCCCAAGGTGAAATGACCCAGTTACTGCTATGTAAAGATAGAGTAATTTATATTGCCTGTCATCTCATGGAAAATTCTGCATTTTTTCCATACGTTCTTCTAGATGTCCACTTGTAGCCAAGTGGCATATCCAAATCTTCCTGCTAAGCACAAGTCTGCAGGAAAGCTGTACGATCAAAGCCCAGCCTCTATAATCACAAACCTACTTTTTCTTTTATTGCGTTACAAATCTTGGAGGGCATGAGCAAGGATTTCTGCGGTAAGACAATTTAAGACTACAAGGTTACAAGGAGCATCTCTGCAAACTGTTAAAGCCAGGGGACTTCCCACATTTCAGACTGCGAGAAAACTCAGGGGCTTTTCTCTTTCCCATTGCTGACCCATGCAGAGGAGCAGCAGCCCTTGCTTTGGTCACCGAGAACCGCAGCCACGAAAGATTTCACAACACACCCTCAAGCATCACCTCGGGCCCATCTCTGACGCAGTCTGGAGCACAACCTGGAGTCATCGTGTGGCTAAAACTGCGCTCCTCTGCCAGCACAGTGCACCCACCTGAGAATCACCACCACCAGCAGTGGGCAACGTGGCTCATGGCAATTCCTCCTTAGCTGTGCTGCTGCCAAACTGAAGTTGCTTACATTTGCTTTTGCTTTCACTTCCACCAAGCCCCAGCATCCTCATCTGAAGCCCTCGCAGAGGCAAACGCGCTCCTCCCTGCCGCAAAAGGGCAGCGGTGTGCGAGCTGTGCCGCGAGGCAGAGGGGCCCGACATCTGTCCGTCCTTGTCTACCTCTGGGAGGCACCAGGAGCGGAGGGTGTCACCGTTCTGTGTCCTCGGGGGGTTTCCTTCTGGAGCTTCTCCCATCTGAGGTGGCAGGTGTGGACATGGGGCATGTGGCTGTGGTCATCCCTGGCAATAAGCCACTGATACAGCAGCATCGCTCCATGGTAGTGATCTTCAGGCTTGGCTCGTCAGCATTTCTCCCAGAAAATGGCACCCTGGATGCACATCCGTGCGTCCAACGGGTCCTGCTCTCCACCAGCCTTCCTTGCTACCTTTCCTGCTGTGCCGCACCAGAACCCGGCTGTGCGCTCCCAGCCCTGGCTCCCCCAGCGTAGGGGGTGCACTGGCCTCCTCCTCCAAGCCACGGTCCTCAACAGGCACCGCGAGCCCCATGCAGAGGAGCCCAGGCACTTGGTGGCATGGCTGCAGCCCATGTCCCCTTCCCATGGCACCCTCGGTGCTGGTGGGACACCAGGCTGCAGCTGTCCCAGCCCGGCTGGCCTCCCCTGTCACCCATCTCTCCCAAAGCCACCCTGTGCTACGACACAGACCATCTCCTTTGGGGCACCCGACCAGACAGGTTTCCAGTGTGGGACTCCAGAAACAACGGACGATGGTGGGGAAAACACACTGGGTGGGTTTCAAACGGAGGTACCAGGAAATGAGAGTGGTCCGACAACGCGTGGTGAAGGGTACGAGAGACACGCTCCACAGCTCCCAGTGCTGTTGTGGTGCCAGCTGGGTGTTTTTTTCCTATGTACTTTACCCCCTTTGTCACAGACTGTACCTCCAGCATCACCACACAGATCTGTTTGACACACTGGATAATCGCGTCGGGTGTCCCCGAGATTGTCACCGCCCGCTCCGTGGAGTTGGGCAGCATGTCCCCCGCCACTTGAACCTGAGCACCTGTTGACTGGAGACAGAAAGAGAGAGGAGGAGAAATCCCACAGCTGAATGCCTTTCCTGGAAGCCAGCTCCAGCTCCGACGCCGTGCGCTTCCCAAGAGCCGCACCGCCTCGCGGGAGCTCAGCTGCGGCACGCTGCCTGCACCCGCAGGGCCCACGGGACGCGTCAGCGGGACCATCCTGCGAAGCAACGTGGTGCATCATGCCAGCGGCGTAAGGATCCCCCTTCCCAAGGCAGCTCCCCCTTGGTCACAGATCAGCTCTGAGGAGCTGTGATTACATGCTATAATGAAATCAAGCCTGACTTACCTCCCTGATCTCCTTGATCTTGGAGCCTCCTTTGCCGATCAGCGAGCCGCACTGGCTAGCTGGCACCACCAGTCTCAGTGTCACCGGAGGTTTGCTGGTAGCAGTGCTGTTGCTCATTGAGTTGGTTATGTCCTTGAGAAGGAAGAGTGCAACGCATCAGCCCTTGGTACCCGATCAGACGCCTGCCATCCAGGCCAACCCAAATGCCCTGGGCCAGAAAAGAGGGGTCACGTCCCCCAGACTGTGGCCGGTCTCTGCCTGCAGCCGCATCACTGCGCATCCCTGCAGCTCATTAACTGCCAGACCTCTGGGACAGTTCACCGAAGCTCAGTTCTTGCCTCGTTAGAGTTGTCTGGAAGGTTTCATGCCGAGGTCGTGTACCAGTTAAGCAAGTCCAGCCAGGTATGCGTGGGTTGGAGGAACCCAGGCCCATCTGCGCTGCCGTCCCCAGCAGTGGACACACTGGAGCTCTGCTTGGCTGGTGGGCCACCCAAGGGTCTGGATGCAAACTCTTTTACTCTACCCTCCTGGGGGAAAGGGCTCATGTTGCTCACCTCCTCAAATTTGTAGGCGATCATGGCGAAAGCCTTGAAGATGGCATCAGTGGGGCCAGTGATGGTCACGATTCGCTCAGGGCAGTTTCCCTCCGAGATGTTGATCCTTGCACCGCTCTGGAAAGAGAAGGGCAGGCCTGGTATAGCCACAGTCAAGCAACCCACGAGGATGCGCCGGAGGCGCAGCCCTTCTTCTGGGTCAGGTCCTGTCCCAGCCTGGACATCATCCTCTGTGCCAGCCTCTTGACACCTCAGCTAATCTTAAAAACTCCCATCCCTGCCCCCCGTGGTGCTTACAGCGCTGCCTTACCCTGACCCTCAGAAAGGGTTTCCAAGCATCCACTTTGGATCTTTTATCGCAATGCAAAAGCCACATGACCAAGGCAAGACCAGCTCATGGGATCACTGCTTGTAAAAAGAAGAGTGTTGCTTACTGGTCTGATAACTCCTTGGTAGCTGCTGGCACAAAGACCTTGGACAATCTCAAGCATCTTACGAGTGACTTAATTTCAATGTTTCATTAAGAGCAAATTCTTGGCTCTGGAAAATTCCCATCAAATGTGACAGGAGTCTGAAAACAGAGTGAGAAAACTGGACCAAAGAGCTCTGGGCACAGCTGGCTTGCATGTCCTGACTCTGGGAGTTAATCCACGTATCACACAGGGCAATGTGCAGCTCACGCTGCCAGGCTGGACAGCCCGATGGCCCTTCCCACTCCTCTCCCCCGCTCCTCCAAATCCTTCTACAGAGCAAGGCTGCTCACCTCCTCACGCATCTTCTTCACAGTCTCTCCCTTCTGAAATAAGAAGCAGAAACACAAGCTATTGCTAAAGATTCAAGACTTCCACCTTCAAAAGAACCCTTCTAAACATGCTTCCCTCTAAAATGTAGCAACACATAGCCAAACATTTGGGCAGCTCTTTGACACCTGGCCCTCCAACCCCACGCGATGGTCAGCTGAAGAGCTGAGGGTGTAAGCCATCGTAGCCCTGCTCCCCACGTCTGTACGACACGGCAGACAAAACAGCTACTAATGCGCAACTGCAGCCTCCAGCTCCTTTTCTATGTTTCCCATTAGGGGGAAAACCACATGGAAGCAGCTCAGAAACTGGTCGGATGCTGAGAAAAGCTGGCACTTCAGGATAGCTCCAAAGAGCAGTTTCTGACCTAGTATCTGTGGAGAGATCTAATATCTTTATATCCAGCTATAAAGCAGGTACAACTGTGAATCTTTCCAGGGCTGGACAGGCTGATGGAAAAATAAGGCACAAGCATATAGAAGAAAGGCGTTCATGCTGCAGATCTTTGCCACCATAAACCTGCCATTTAAAAACACCATAAAACCCAGTCCTGTAGAGCCAGGACTTTCCAAACCACCGTGGCAAGCGCCAGGGAGCAGAGAACCTTGTGAAGTTTTTCTGCACAAGCTAAATGGTGTTCTGTGGTCTCAGAGACAAGTGTGGCAGGATTTAAATTGGTCTTCATGACATTTTTTGATCTCTCTTAATGAAGCTATTTGATCAAAATGTCAGGGAAACATAATCATAAGCACTTCTTCACCCCAGTGAAGCAGCTGGAAATGGCACTAGGTAAGTTTGGTGGTGGGTTGTTGTTTTTTTTTTAGGGGAATGGTCCTTGATCCCTCTGTGGGTCTTTCATAATTTCTGTCTCACAAATGCAGCAACAAGCTCACGCACACCAAACGTACAAGCACATCACAGGGAAGAAGTGACTGGCATCTACCACACCACAGGCAGCAAATGGTGCAGGCACTAGCATTAAGTACACATTTAAAAGACGTCCTTACCTTTCCAATGATGCTTCCAACTTCCTACAAAAAAAAAAGCCAAACACAAAGGAATCAATGCTACAAAATGTGAAGACAATCCAGCCCAACCCCATCATGAAGCAAATACCTAGTGCACGCTGTCCCCAGCAGAAGGGCAGGAATGAGAAGGGCCAGGAGCACCACGCCACCCTCTCCATCAGCATGAGGACATCTACCCACGTGGTAGCCCCTCACTGGGAGCCCCTTACCTTGCCATGCATCAGCAGCCGGATGGTGAGGGTGACGTTCAGGCCGCCTTCGGAGACCTTCGACTCCATTTCCTACCAGGGGATGGGAGACGCGCGTTAGCTGGGAGGGCAGCCCTGGCGCAGAAGACGACAGCACCACGGCTGTATCACCTGGGGACAGAGAGGGCAAAGGTTATCTCTCAAAACAGGCAGGTTCCTCGTGTGGGATGGACCCTGCAGAGCAGCAGGGCATGGGAAAGCCACGGCTGGAGGGCCTGTGGGAGATGTCCTGGGCTGAGCACCTTAGCGGGTGCAGATCGGGCTGGCTGCTCGCTACAGAGTCCGCCCTGGACGCGAGCCTGGGAACAGCCCGCAGCTCTGCCGCAGCTTTGCCACCGGCTTCATGCAAAAGCCACTGCGGGAGCAAAGACTCAAGTGTCCGAGGTGGCACAGCCCGATGGCTGGCCCACACCTGCATGAGCCAAAAAGCAGATGTGCCCAGCTGAGCGCGTGGACGCAGGAGCAGGGAGTCAGCGGAGCAGCCTGGCCAAAGACCGATGCCTGAACTGGGACTTTAAAAGAGCCAAGGCGCCTACCTAGCAAACCAAAATTCACTGTTTCGAGTGTGAACGAGCACTCAGAAAATCAAAAGCCAGTTTTTCAATAAGCAGGAAATATCTGTCTGACCCCAGGAGCACAGAGCGGGAAGGATGGAGCTGGTGTCCCAGTTGCTGCACATCTGCTCAGCCCGAGCTGTGAGCACCCTTGCTGGGCACTGCGTCTCAGGACCACGCCATTTCCAGCCATCCATGCTCCGTGCATATCTAATGGAACCTCTGCAAGTTTTCCCAGTGCTGTCATCACTCTCCTCTCCCTTCCCATTCTCTCTTTCCTCCTCTGCCCTCTAGAGGGAAAAACGACAGCGATGCTTTGAAGGCAGGGGGAAGAAAAAAAAATCACAGAACGGCAACAAATCCTTCTTGTTCTTTCCTGACGCCTCCTTAGTAGCATCTCTGCATGAGGACCGGGCACGTGAAATGTCTCTGCAGCCTAGTGCATGGGGAGGCCAGTCCTGTCTCAGAAGGAGGTGCCAGCGTCCTTCTACGTGCAACGCTGTGAGATTTGAAGCAACTCTCCCCCCCGTGTTATTTAATCCCTCAGTACATATCAGATGTGAGATTTTTCATCCTGGTCACAAGCATCTGGCATTTTCCTTTGCTCAGACACGGACTTAAGCGACCAAAAAATGGGTAGTAGATCACTTCTCAAGTATTACTTTAACGCAAAGAGGCAGTCGGGATGAATAAACACGCAGCAATACACAAATCATGGCTAGGAGATGGGTTTGATGTAAAACCTCTTTCAAGAGGTTATGAGGAAACCCAAAATGGATAAATCCCACGTGGTTAGCAGGGAGGCAGTGCTCCCACAGCGCTAACAGGAGATCAGCTCACTGGGAATGAGGTTGCTTATAACCTACTTGCAAACGCCGATCTTGAGGCCACTGGATGTTACAACTGAAAAAAAAGTACAATCCTCACCAGAACAATAAGAAATCAAGTGTGCTGAAGATGTCAAGCCAAAAGCTACTGTTAAAGGTGGGGAGGAGGAGAATATTTCAGAGGAAGAAGGTGACGACACTGAGGACCAGAGCGATGGGAATGGGATGACACATGATAGCACAACGTGCAAGATCAGGAACTTTCTCTCTGAAGACCGAGCCCAACGCAGGCAACAAATAAAGGAAAATATGGTTGTGCTGTTTAGCCCGGTGCCAATTTCTGTGCATGGGAAGCAATGATGAAAAGCATAAATGGGCTGATTTACGGAGGTCAGCGTTGCTGGTGCTCCTGATGTGCCAGGAGATAAAATGCCTGCACGGAAGAGGTGCCATTCCCGTGCAGGGGGACAACCATCCCCAGGGATGTCCGGTCCAGGAGCAATCTAGCCCTGCCGCAGGGAAAGAAAGAGGGCTGCGACACCACTGCAGCAACCCACAATCCCCTCCCCGGCTGACGAGCATCCTCTAACAGCAGAGCCAGAGGAAGGCAGAAGCTGTTCACAGCTGGTGGTCAAGACGCAGCCTCAGGCAGTGGCTTTCGTGACTTGCAGAGGCAGAATTTGCAAGCCATCCTGCCCCGCACACCACCCCGAGGGCTTCCCTTTGCAAGCTGCCCAACCGTGGTGGCCTGGGCAGCTACAGCCCGGGCTGCCAGCCCCACGGCTGGGAGCCAGCAGGTGAGGCTGGGACCCTGGAGCAATCTGGGCTTTGCCACCGGGTTGATGGACCCCAAAGCCCAGCTGAGTGGTTGAGGTGCTCAAAACCCAGGCATATCCTTGCGGCAGCAGGAGAGCCTACAGTCCCACCGAGATGGGTCACAACTTGACCACTACGGACCAGCCAAATTCGCTGTTTTGCTTCCACCAGATGCCCTACGGTGCCATAGAGCTTATCGCGGGGGGTGTCTGCCATCCCCGGCGCCACATCCCGCACGGGAGGAACTCTGCATCAGGCCGTTATGTAAATGTTTCCAATTGATTGAAAAAGTGGGTCATGTGTTAGCCAAATGCTCCTGGCTTTAAGATTTATCAGCATTATTAAATTAAACACGCTTCATGCTCCAGCGAGCGGGAAAGCTACATTGGCCTTTTCTTAATCATACTCGTGAAAGGTAAGTCTTTCATACGGGGGGTTCGCGAGCTCAATGGAAACGATGGGAACAACAGAGCCGAGGCACTTACCCTGGGCGTGTGCCTCCCTCCACAGCCCTCATTCTTCACGGACAAAAGGGCTGGGAAAAATTATCCCCCAAATGCCATTTTGAGCATTTCAGAGCATTCCCTGCCTAGAGAGAGAGAGACTCATCTTGGACCCTTCCTCTTCATTTTCTGCCTAGTTCACAGAAGGTTTGAAATGGCTTCTTTGTCCATCTACTTGAAAGCCCTGAGGACACCATTACGTCCAGTCCAACAGATAGAGTAGACACAGAGCCCAAACCCAACCCAGCGCAAAGCAGGCGCAGCCCCGCAGAGGCCAAAGACGCAGCATTAGGAGACAGAAGTGTCGAGTTTGGCCCTGAAATGGAAGTTGCACAGCAAGCCAAGCGAGACTCTTGCTGAGCATCATGCCTGGACCTCCGCAGGCGGCGGACCAGAGCCGCATCTCCCACATACAGCCATCACGGGGAGCAGCCAAATGTCTTCGCACCTCAGCGAGGGGAGTTCTGCAGGGTGGGGAGTGCCGTACTCAGCACTGATCTGCCTCAAAACAGCTGGCTAACGTTTTCCAAAGAATGATCCTATTGCAGAGTAAGTAGACCTTTTAAATGCAGCTGCCTTCTGGGAGAGTGCTCGGAGGAGGTATCGTCAGTACTCCGAGCAATTCAGTTCTTCCCTCTCCCTAGGTTTCAAGATTAAATGTATTACATTTGGGGAAATTTCCTTAATCTATCAGGAATTCCCTGTGCCTGAAAAAGCAGCTCAGGCACCAGTGACCAAGGAGGAGAAGGAGAAGCAGAAGGAAAATTGAAACCCAGAACAGCAGAAAGACTCTCGTTCCCCATGTGCAAAGATACACAGTCTGATTTTTCTCTTTTCCATTTTTTTAGAGGTTGGAGCAATTGCCCAAACTGGTGCTCTTGCCTTTATGCTTGCTGATACCTCACAAATCCTGATACTCTCCTGAAATTTAAGCAAAATCTTCTAATTAGGGGAATTCTGAACACTGCATATTAAATTAATTTAATACCATGATCATCTCCCAGACAGGAGATGGAGTGTGCAGCAGAATAGGGGGAGGAAGACTGAGCTCAGGACTGGACTTTGTTCCCCGGCCTGGTTTCTAAATGGGAGCTGGAAAAGCGGAGTCTGGGATCCCCCAGCCCCCTCCAGACGGGCAATAGTAGGGGCTCGTCTGAGCTCAGGTGGAGCCGGTGTCCCCGCAAGGGCCCGAAGAAATCACTGGCTCCGAGCTTGCCAATGCCAGCCCTCCTTCTCCTCCTTTTCCACCTCCCATGCATCCACTTGGCACGTTCTCCACATGCGAGCAAGTCCCGCGGCGCAGCTCCAGCGAACGCTGCCCACGCCTCCTCTGCAAATGCCCAGGCCTCCTGCTCCGGTGCCCCCCCGAGACAGCCCCTGCTGCCCTAGGATGTGGCGGCAGCAGCCTGCGTTTTGGAGAAGGTGGTTGAGGCTCTCATAAACGAGCTCCGTCACAAAACTGCTCCTCTTGCTTTGCTGCTAGCATTGCTACCGCCTGAAGATCCCAGCTCCAGGGTGAGGTTCTCTCTTATCTGCACTAAAGTCACCCTGGTGCCTCTGGGATGGACGGTCCTGCCAGAAGATACATGCACAAGGTAGAGTTTCTTTGGTAGATCTCGTCATGGAATATTCTCATCAGCATTACAGAGACCAAATTTCATGGCTTCATCCAGGTATTTGTTTTGGGGGACAGCAGTGTTTTGTTCAAGCTGTCCAAAAACAAACAGAGAGGACAACTCTGTGCAGAAACGTCCCACAACCCGCTCCCTCCCTGAAACATCTGGATGGAAAGTTCACAGGCACTGCCAAGCAAACTCAAAGAAGAAAGTGTCCATCACCCCCTTCACCCATCACATGGCCTCCAGAAAACCACACGTTCTCTACAGGTTTGGTCAGTGTAGTCTGATAAACTCCAACACCTTGGAGCCCTGTTGACCAAGAGCCCTTGCCAATCTGTGCAGGTAAAGAGCAGGGTGGCCGGAGCACCGGTTTGTACAGGAATGCTGTGCCACCTGCCTAGAGGACCACTCCCAAGACCCTACCCTGGAGCATCCTGGCTGTTGTTCAACGCCAATGCCACCCTGAAAAACATCCAACCCTCTTTCCAGACTCTTTGGGGTTTCAGGAGCCCCACCAGCAGAAAGCCAGGTGTTACAGATGACCACAAAGCTTCAGTGTCCTTCAGCACACCACAATACGCTACGGCACAGCCCAGATTTCTAATGTGGCTCACAGACTCTCATGTCGGGGATTAACATCTTGGCCAGAAAGTCCACCACTCAAGACAACACTTCCCACTGCAAGGGAGGAGATGTTTAAACGCCTCTGACCTC